AAAAATACAATAATATAAACTGTTGGAGAATAGGTTATTTGACTTAGTAATATTTGTATAGTTAAGCTCTAGCATATTGCCTAGCACAAAACAAGCACTCAGTAAATGTTGAGTGATAATATTATGCTTAGGTTATTTTGTGGATGTTGAAAAAGAAGCTATTTAATTTCCTGAAATTTTATTAATTAAAAAGCTACAAAAACTCAATTTAATGCAAGTTGAATTTATTTGAATACATTTTATACCCAATGAGTTGAAAATGTTTGCATAAACTTTGCTATTGCTTGTGAAGCCAATTTGAAATCTTCAGTGTTATAAATGATTCTGAAAAGACATCATATTTAGTTTTGATTATTAAACTATTTCATTCCATTAATAGGGCGAGTGCTAAAATACTAAACATAGTCCTTTAACAAGTTGAATTAAATACATTAGAAAAAAAATCCTGAGTATATTAGCATCATTAGCCATTAGGGAAATGCCAATTAAAACCACAAAGAGATACCACTATGTACCTATTAGAATAGCAAAACAAAAACAATAAAAAAAAAAACTTTGACAATACCAAACTGGCAAGGAAACGAAGCAACTTAAACCCTTACACGTTGCTGATGGGAATGCAAAATTGTATGGCTACTTTGGATAACAGTTTGGTAGTGTCTTATAAAGTTAATCATATTTAGTATAAAACCCAGAAATCCCACCTGTAGGTATTTGCTCAAGAAAAATGGGACTGTGTTACCTCAGAAACTAGTACCTGAATGTTTATAGCAGCTCTATTCCTATTGTCAAATCTCACTGATTCCATTTATATGACATTTTTGAAAATATAAACCCATAGTGTTGAAGAACAGATCACTGGTTCAGAAGTGATGAGTGGGGAGAGGGTGGGCTATAGAGATAGCACGAGGGAGTTTTTTGGTGTGATGTAACTATTCTGTATCCTGAGTATGGTGGTGGTTACACAGGTTTATACATGTGTTGAAATTCATAGAACTGTATACTCCCTCTTCCCCCAAAAGTCGATTTTACTGTATGTTAATTTAAAAAAGTAAAACCAAAGATGTATATATAGGTCTGCTTTTTAAGGATTTGGTCTGACTATTGTCTAAATCAGGGGTGGGCAAACTTTTTGACTCGAGGGTCACAATGGGTTCTTAAACTGGAGCGGAGGGCCGGAACAAAAGCATGGATGGAGTATTTGTGTGAACTAATATAAATTCAAAGTAAACATCATTACATAAAAGGGTACGGTCTTTTTTTTTTTTTTTAGTTTTATTCATTTCAAACGGGCCGGGCCCGCGGGCCGTAGTTTGCCCACGGCTGGTCTAAATAATATTATGTTAGTGCTTTCTGATGTTTTTCCTGTTAGATCTTTTAACTTTAAGGATTTACATGCAGAGTGACTGATAATGCCAAAAATCTTTTACATTAAAAGAATTAGTACTATAATCATTTTGTACAAAGAATTTGAGTGGTCACCCTGTACAACTTCACATTTTTGAATAGATAATAATTGTCATTTATTGAAATAATATTGTCCAGTGATCACCTTGCTAAACATTTTTAACTATACTTTGCTCATAATTATGGCTAGGTATTATTTTCCCTATCTTACACATGAGAAAGCTGAAGCATAGAGGTATTAGATGTCTTGCCTAGGATCACACAAGAATGCGATAGAGCTGGAATTTCAACTATTTCTGTTAGACTCAGAATTCTCTCTCTCTCTTTTTTAAAAAACAATACATTTTATTGTAAAATAAAGCACATATTTAGAAAACCACACAAAACAAATGTACTTAATGTATTATAAAGTGAATACAATTATAACAACCATCCAGGTCAAGAAGCAGAACTTCTTTGTCAGCTGCCCCAACAGCTTTCCTTGTACTCATCCCAGTCATAACTGCCTTTTAATCTGTAAGTCCCCCCTTCTCATCTCGTTCTTTTCCCTATAGTTTAGCTATTGAGCCCTGGACTATTTGACTTGTCAAACTTCCTACAATTTGGATTCTGCTGATTGCATACTAATGGTGTAATTCAGCGTGTCACTCTATTCTCTGTGTGTCCTGCAGATTTTCCTGAGGATCCAGAGGCTTGATCAGAATCAGGTGTGATTTCTTTGTCAGGACCGTATGTAGATTGTATTGTGTGGAGACACTTGATATCTGCATTGAGGTTTTTTTTTTTTTTTTTTTTTTTTTTTGTGTGTGTGTGTGTGTGTGTATGTGATATTAAGAATTATCGATATTTAATGCCTAGAACCAATAATTCATTGGGGGTTGCAAAGTAGTGATATTCTAAAATTTTTTCTTTTATTTATGACTTAGTATACTTTCATAGAATACTCTCCTCACCTGCTATTTTGTTATCGAATAGCCTTTGATTTAAGGGCTCTATAGAATAGAATTTGCGGAGGGAGTGAGTGATTCCTATGTAGAGGAATGCTTTCTCTTATGTGATCAGATTTCCCAACAAGTACTATTAATTAATCTTACATTTGCTGAAAACCTGCCTCTCTGCAAGGCTGCAATGCTACGATGGGTGTCAGGGACATCTCTGTTCTCACTGACAAACAAGGAGTCAAATATATTTTTGAGATCTCAGTTTGGAACTCAGAATATTACTACCTTCCTCCACCCCCACACATGGGCACGTGCGCGCGCGCGCGCGCACACACACACACACACACACACACACACACACACACACACACACTTTCCTGTATTTATAAATGGTAGCTAGATATAGTTGATGAATTACTATTTAAATGTGGGCTGGTCTGGGAACAGAATTACCATTTTTAGCATTGCTTTTGTATAAAAGGAAAGTGCATTCTGAATTCTGAATAGGTTTTGGAATCACCTATTCATTCATGGTGGCCTGCCTATTTTTATATATGAGATCCTCATTGCTTGTCAGATGCCAAGCATGAAATGTTCAGCACATTTACTAGCTTGTAGCCATCAGGGATTACATATCTGAGATTCGGGTTAGGCTATGCACTGCAGGTAATTTACATTTTTGTGTGTAACTGGGACTGAATGGTACTATTATTGATATTTTATTAATGAATGATTGAAAATTAACTTTTAATCTAGATGGTAACTTGGTAGATTGGAAAAAACTAGGGTTTTGGAGTCAGATCTGAGTTCAAATTCCAACTCCACCATTTATTAACTGAATTTGTTTCTTCAACTGTAACATGGAGATGATAATTACAGGATGGTTATGAGATTTTAAATGATTTAATAGTAGCCCATGTAAAGTGCTTAGTTAAGGCATTTGGTACACATTAAACACTCAGTAGCATACCATTAGATCCTTAATTCCTTGCAGTTAGTTCTTTACCAATTTGACATGCATAATAGTTATCATTTTACTGAGTTACAGCATAGAATTATGTTTTAAAAGGCTCATAGAAAATAGGTATGATAATATATTTTAATATCTCTTTGGCTATATTAATTGAGGATGGCTTGTTTTATTTTTCCCCATTTTTACAGTGCATATAAAAACATTTATTAAGTCCTATATATCAGTGGAAGTAAAAACAATGAATAAAATAATGTGCTATTTATTTTTCAAATTATTTTATATAATAGTGTTTGCTTTGGCAGGAAGTCTTACTTTATGGGGTTGTTGGTTAAATTTTTATTTCCTGTTATGAAATAATAAACATTTTAAAAAATACGTTTTTATTGATTTTAGAGAGAGTGAGAGGAAGGGAGAGGGAGAGAGGGAAACATTGATGACATCCATTGGCTGCCTCGTACATGCCCCCTACTGGTGATTGAGCTCACAACCCAGGATATGCTCTGACCCTGGAATTGAATCTGCCACCTCACGGTACAGGAGACAAAGCTCAACCAACTGAGCCACACCAGCCAGGGCAAAATAGAAAAGTTTTAAATTGTATACTTCTGAAATTCAAATATAGCTTATCAATGGCCAATACTGAGCTACAAGGTTATTTCAAATGAAAGTGAAGTAGAAAACTTAAAATGTAAATTAATTTGATAACTGTTCTTTTATGATGGTATAAATGTAAAAATTTAACTAGTGTAATATGTTTATAGTCCGTTTTCAGGTTAACAAACTAAGCACAATTAAAAAATAATATTCCTGGCCTTGAACACTGAAAATGGTTTGTGAGAAAAAAGTATCTTAGTTACAAATGCTTCAGTTTAATAATACTATTTGGCTAGGCCATAGTAAATATGAGAGGCCTAGATAAAATTTGTTGATGGGTATTATACTTAGACAATGGAGAGATAGCAAGACAAAAAATAGGAGATAGGTCCACTAATCAAATGAGATTATACATATATAATGTAGCAAAATATTCCAGCAAGGATTAATGGAGTACACAGAATGATCATATCAGCTCAGGAAGGAAGGGAGGGGCTGGATTTTGAGAAAGTTGACTGATGTGCATTGATTGACAAAGAGGATAAGGGAGAAAAAGTCTTTGTTCTAAAAAGAAGGAATGGTGTGTTATAGGGTGACAGCTGAGAATGATAAAGTTCTCTGTGGAAAGCAAGCAAATTAAATTGACTTGAATGGAAGTTTGTGTAGAAGATAGTCAGAAATTAGGGTGCACAGCTAATCGGAGTGTGGGGATGTAGAAAAATTTTAACATTAATTTGAAAGGATAGACCTTTCAGATTGCTCTATATTTTAAAAAGTAGACAAAATGAAAGAATTTCATGTTCACAAAGCAAGTTTTATAGGTGTCGACTTATTTTAAGGTGAACTATGAAACAGATTAAAATACTGAATGTTACTGCATTTAACTGTAATTTGCAAAATGAAAGTCCATTCATTCCTTATTGAGATATGAAAAGCACTGCTTGCAAAAAAATTGAATGTACAAACATTTTACATGTCATGACTCACTACATAAGGAAAGAAAAAAGAGAGATTAAAAAAAGCTATATATAATAAGGCTAAAATTTGAGTAGGGCTGAATTTTGTCTATTTTTCTTTTATTCTAGATCACAGCTTTTGCTAAGAGAGCTCTCTTGACACAAGACAACATGCTCTGTTGCCCTTATTGATTAATTGAACAAATTCAGGTTAGTACACTTTATGCACAGCACTTTCCTATGCCATGTATATGTTAATATTTTGAGAAATGAATAATTTTGTGTTTGAAGCTACATATGTATGTACCATTGAAGTAGAAAGGCCAAGTGGATCGAAACCCTATTGTGTATTAGTTAACATTTTCTGACTACCTACTATGTGAGATGTGCGGTGCATATAATGAAAAACATTTTACTTACTAAGTAATAGTTTTGTATTTTAAAGTAAGGGGCTGGATGAAACAAGTTGTGGGTGAATATGGTACATTGTATTTTTGGTGTTGTGTGGTGTATTTGGTGCTGAAAATAACTCATCTTAAAAAATAAAAAAAATACTTTTATTGATGTTTAGAGAGGGAGGAAGGGAGAGGGAAAGAGAGAGAAAAACATCAATCGGCTGCCTCTCATACACATCCCCACCAGGGATCGAACCCACAACCTGGATATGTGCCTGGATTGGAAATTGAACCAACAACCTTTCAGGGCATGGGGTGATGCTCAACCAACTGAGCCACACTGGCCAGGGCTCATCTTAAAATTTTTGACAGTAGCTGACTTTTAAAGGTTTCATTCCTGTATAGATTTCAGTCATACATTAAATTTTTTATTTATTTGTATTTAGTGTTCAGTCTGAGTTTTGACAAATGTATAATCATCACCATAATCTTCTAAATTCACTTATGTCCATCTCAATCCCCAGCAACCACTGATGTGTTATTTTTTGTTCCTATAGTTTATCTTTTCCAATATGTCATTTAAATGGAATCATTTAGTATGTAGCTTTTAAAATATGGCTTCTTTCACTTAGCATAATGAATTTGATCCATGTTGTGCATACTAGTAATTCTTTATTTTATTTTATTACTGAGTAGTGTTCTGTGTGGCTATACTACAGCTAGCTTTACCATTCACCAGCTGATGGACATTTGGGGGAGTTTCTAGTTTTTGGTGATTATTGCAATCATACTTTTTTTTATTGTAATAAAATATGATAACATATAAAATTTACTATCTAACTTTCTGATTTCCCATATGAAGAATGAACATAAGAATATTTATCCAAGGATTGTAATGAGGATTAAAAAGAATCCTATCTAATAAAAGAGAAACATGGTAATTAGCCATACATCTGCTACCCTTCCCATTGGCTAATCAGGGTGATATGCAAATTAACTTCCAGCCAAGATGGCGGCTGGCAGCCAGGCAGCTGGAAGCTAACATGAGGCTTGCTTGCTTCAGTGACGGAGGAAACCAACGTTCCCCGCCTGCCTTGCAGGCCTCTGAGCTTCGAGTTTGAAACATAGTTACAAATATAGAAGCTAAACAAAACCCCAGAAACCTGCTTTCAGCGAGCCGGGATCTCAGAGCTGGAGTTGATACAGTGTTTCGATTATAGAACACAAACAAACCAGATACCTGCTTTCAGCAGCAGAGGCCTCAGAGCTGGAGCCAGAGCTAAAGCTGGCCCAGAATAAAAAAAAAAAAAGGAGGAGTTGGGAGCTTCAGTCACCCGCCAGCCTGAAAACAGCCCTCAGCTCCTCACCAAGACTGGCCAGGCACCCCAGTGGGGACCCCCACCCTGATCCAGGACACCCTTCAGGGCAAACCAGCCGGCCCCCACCCATGCACCATGCCTCTATCCTATATAGTAAAAGGATAATATGCCTCCCAGCACCAGGATCAGCGTGACAGGGGGCAGCGCCCAAACCCCCTGATGGCCCTGCAGCTCTGTGTGTGACAGGGGGAGGGGCCACAACTTCCCTATCCACCCTGCTCTGTGCCTGATAGGGGGGAGCTCCCCAAACCCCTGATCACCCTGCGGCTCTGTGTGTGACAGCGTGCAGTGCCCCAACCCCCTGATCGGCCCTGCTCTGTGTATGACAGCATGCGGCGCCCCAACCCCCTGATCGGCCCTGCTCTGTGTGTGACAGGGTGCGGCGCCCCACCCCCTGCCACGGGCCCTGCTCTGTGTGTGACAGGGGGCGGTGCCCCAGCCCCCTGATTGGCCCTGCTCTGTGCCTGATAGGGGGAGGAGCTCCCCAACCCCCTGATCGCCCTGCGGCTCTGTGTGTAACAGGGGTCGGGGCCACAACCTCCCTATCCGCCCTGCTCTGTTCGTGACAGGGGAAGGTGCCCCAATCCCCTGATCAGCCCTGCTCTGTGCCTGATAGGGGGAGCTCCCCAACCCCCTGATCGCCCTGTGGCTCTGTGTGTGACAGGGTGCGGCGCCCCAACCAAACCCCCCCCCCTCCCCCCGCACAGGCCCTGCTCTGTGTGTGATGGGGTAGAGCCATAACCTCTTCATCGGCCCTGCCCTGAGTGTGATGGTGCGGCGCCCCAACCCCCTGATTGGCCCTGCTCTGTGGGTGACAGGGGGCAGTGCCCCAACTCCCCTATCGGCCCTACTCTGTGGGTGACAGGGGGCAGTGCCCCAACTCCCCTATCGGCCCTACTCTGTGAGTGACAGGGGGGAGCTCCCCAACCCCCTGATTGACCCTGCTCTGTGTGTGACAGGGTACGGAGCCCCAACCCCCCTGATGGGCCCTGCTCTGTGCGTGACAGGGGGCAGCGCCCCAACCCCCTGATTGGCCCTGCTCTGTGCTTGACAGGGGGTGGCGCCGCAACCTCCCCATCGACCCTGCCTTGAGTGTGACAGGGGTCGGTGCCCCAACCCCCCAATCGGCCCTACCCTGAGCGTGACTGAGGGTGGCATTACAGCCTCCCAATCCGCCCTGCTCTGTGCATGACAGGGGGTGGTGCCCCAACTCCCCATTCAGCCCTTCTCTGAGACCAGGGGCTGCACCTAGGGATTGGGCCTGCCCTCTGCCACCCGGGAGCAGGCCTAAGCCAGCATGTCGTTATCTCCTGACGGGTTCCAGACTGAGAGAGGGCACAGGCCGGGCTGAGGGGCCCCCCCCTTTCCCCACTGATTGCACAAATTTTTGTGCACCGGGCCTCTAGTACATTATATAAAAGGATGAAGCAGTAGAGGTAGGCTGTTAATAAATGTTTATCTTTGTCTTTATGCTTTTTTTAAATGATCACTGGAGACTTCACTTTTCTATTGCCTATTTCCCTAGTGAGTCTATATGGACACAGAAATAGTGCCCAGTATTACCTTGGAGCCCATCAAGAAGCAAATTACTGCTGTGTTAACCTCTTAGAACTTTTCACAGTTTGAAAGAAAGTTAACCAGGGCACTGTCAGCATAAGACTATAATAGAAAATGCTGGGCATGAAAGGCTCTGGAGGAGAGTTCTAACTTGGGGAAGGCAGAATTTTTTTATAGGGCTTTAGCAGGAGAGATTAGGCATAGTTCAGCTAGTTTGGGGAGTAGTTTGTCAATGATGGCTGTTAGAGAATTGATTTTGTAGATTAGCAGCTGTTGTACAATTTGGATTTTATCAAGTAGGTTGGGGAAAAGCAGCTGTGGGGAGCAAGAACATGAGAAAGCCAATGTAAAAATTCTCAAGTTTTTAGTGTCTTCACAGTAGATTTTTCTATCATTGGCTCTTGCAGCCTTCTCCCAATCACCTCCTCCCTACTCACCCCTCCCTAGTAGAAAGACCCCTTAATTTTGGTCATGATTTTAGACTGCTTCTAGCTCTTAATCTCAGAAGGCAACATCTTTATGAAACTTCAAAGAACTAGGAATTAAGTATTTTGTAGTACTGGAAAGTTCTCTTAGTTTTTACTCCCTGCTTTCTTTTCACTGTTTTGGATCCTGTTGTGTAGGTACTTTGCAGTAGGGGAAATAGTAATGCAAGATAATGAAAAGCTTCAAAGTAGACATATGGCTGGAAGGGAGATTTGAATAGGATTTTGCAGCAGCTATTTTAGTTGATGATGTATCTTCAACTTAATTGCAATTGACTTTTTAAATTCTGCCTTATCCTTTTGTGATGATTCATGTAGAGGTCACATGAGACCATTTTTGATAGCTGATTTGCAAACTTTGGTATGTGCAGCCAACCTTCCAAAGCCTTCCTGTGCTTTTTCAGGGAGCTCAGCTTGTGGCTGAATGGATAGTTATTCTCTTGTATTTTTTAAATGCATTACTGGTTTCTAGTACCTGAAATTAAATGGTTCTGCCCTGGTCAGTGTGGCTCAGTTGGTTGGGCATTGTCCTGTGTATCAAAGGATTGCTGGTTCAGTTCCTGATCAGTGCACATGCCCGGGTTGCAAGCTCAATCACTGGTAGGGTGCATGCAGGAGGCAGCCTATGGATGTTTCCGTCTCACTTTTTTTTTTTTTTTTTAAATTCTTCATTAGTTAAGGTATTACAAATGTGTCTTCATCCCACCCCATTAACCCCCATCCTCCCTCCGCCCCGCCACTCATGCTCTCATCGCCCTGTTGTCCATGTCCATTGGTTTGGCTTATATGCATGCATACAAGCCCTTTGGTTGATCTCTTCCCCTTACCCTCTCCCTCCCCTACTTTCCTTCTGGGGATTGATAGTCTGATCGCTGTTTCTCTGTCTTTGGATCTGTCCCTGTTCATCAGTCTCTATGTTGTTCTCTATAATCCACAAATGAGTGAGATCATGTGGTATTTACCTTTCTCTGACTGGCTTATTTTACTTAGCATAATGCTCTCCAGTTCCATCCATGCTGTTGCAAAAGGCAAGAGTTCCTTCTTTTTTTACCGCAGCATAGTATTCCATTGTGTAGATGTACCACAGTTTTCTAATACACTCATCTGCTGATGGGCACTTAGGCTGTTTCCAAATCATAGCTATGGTGAATTGTGCTGCTATGAACATAGGGGTGCATATAACCTTTAGGATTGGTGTTTCTGGTTTCTTGGGATATATTCCTAGAAGTGGGATCACTGGGTCAAATGGGGGTTCCATTTTTAGTTTTTTGAGGAAGCTCCATACTGTTCTCCACAGTGGCTGCACTAGTCTGCATTCCCACCAGCAGTGTAGAAGGGTTTCTTTTTCTCCACATCCTCTCCAGCACTTGTTTGTTGATTTGTTGATGATGGCC